AATAATTTATGGAAACCTAGGCTGATTTTGTTTTCATTCAATTTTCATAATTCTGAAAGTCTTCAGTTAATTTTAAATATAGAATAAAACAAAGAAAAGTCAAAGTTTTATTTTCTATAAATTGTCATCATATTCTCAGGTTTATATGACTTCACTTTAAATACATTAAAAAACCTGAGAATACGTTGACAATTTATAGAAAATAAAACTTTGACTTTTCTTTGTTTTATTCTATATTTAAAATTAACTGAAGACTTTGAGAGTTATGAAAATTGAATGAAAACAAAATCAACCTAGGTTTCCATAAATTATTATTATATTCTCAAGTTATCTGATATATTTTCTAATTAACAAACTGTAGTCATGTATGTATACCAAGTTAAACAACAATGCTAAACAAAAATATTTTTCAATTATATTAAATACACTTAGTTTTATAAAAAGAGTCAAAGAATGGCAATAAAGTTAAACAAATGAAAGAGATGAACTCTGACGGCACGAAGAAAAGGTGAACTTAATTCGTCAGTGCATCCAGTACATCAGCCACTGATTGCACACTCGTATTCAACAGTTATGATAAAACACCAAGCACTACTTACGCTGTTGCTTTGAAGATTGAATACTTTTGGAATTCCACTACAACAATTCCATTAAGCAATGTGCCAATTCAGTTTCTCATAAAATAAATACGCTGAATAGCTTTTCAAATAGTTCGTTTAGTAAAAGTCTCTCCAAATTGGTATGTCGTTTAACTCTCCACGGTGTTTTCTACGAAAGCTATGATCATTCTCCTGGGAGCCTTAAAAAAAATTGACATTTCGGATACAACATCCTTGATTGAATACACGACTCGGTCGAACTGCAATACGTTACGATTTCATCAAAACTTCATCCGAATGACTCGGGAACTATAACTTGTAAGCAATTTTTCAGCAAAAAGCCTTTTTGAGTGAGCTGCTTACAACCTTTGTTAAGATGATTCGAACCCTTTGTTCACGTTCATTAGAAAAATCTTCTGCCAGTCAAAACATAAACTGCCTTAATTTTACACAAATAAAAGCTGTAGTATGTTAGTGTGTAAGAAAGTAAAAGCAAACGTTGGCACGTTGGCAACGCATCTTGAGGTCGTGCACAATTGGACTTCGCTGCGAACTAAAAAATGAGAACACAGCGAACTTATATTGTGCATAGTACCAATATCTTATTAATGAATGCTGCTTTTTTATTTTATTAGTATCAGTTACACGCGCAGAAAAGATAGAAAAAGGGATTATGTCTGGTATCATTGCATGGTGTGTTTTTCGATATATTTTGAATTACGATTTTGCTATAATTAGTTTTTCTTTCATTATGATAAGAGTAAACACGTTCAAGATTCTTCTTTTGGGTATATAACAACAATAAACATTAAAAGTAAGAAGCGATGAAAAGCCTTAAGAATGCTTGCTGTTATGTATTTTATTCTTAGCAGTCTAAAAAGCAATCTTCAATAAAAACACATAAGGTGCCGGCAATTCAAAAGATAAGCAAAATTTTTTTTTTGATTTTTTTTAATCATTAGATCGAGCTCATCGAGTTACCTAGAAAAAACTGAAAAGTGTATTTTTGAAAGTCTTTCTTCATTTAAAAAATTTTGAAATATTGATTTTTTAAAAATGGGCAAAATTCAGCAAAATTTTCAAGAAAAAGCAAAATTTGAGGGTTTATTGTCTTTTTAAAATTTTGGTACTATTTTTCCTGATTTTATATCCAAAATTGAATATAAAAAGTAATTCAGATACTTTTAGAACCTGATTGGCCGACTGAAATCGCTGAAGACCTGGCAGAACGGCCGGAACCCCACCCGAACTTCTTGTAAGCCTATCTAGTTTTTTTGGTTAGCAATTAGGCAAGTTTTTTCAGCTTTATTTAAGTCATCACAGTTGTGGAAAAAAGTTAGCATTGGTTTTGGAAAATATTGTTCCGTTGTTGAGAAAATTAATTTTATAGTATGACTTGTCTCAAAAGCAAAGCATGACGATTACCTTATCTGTTATTCTTAGTGTATTCCTTTTAACACTCCATTCTGCTCATACAACTCATTTTCATGGTGGAATAATCACATGGAAGCCGATGGATGACACAACTGTGAATAGTAGTACGGTTAGTGTTATGATAACACAAAGTTATGAGTGGACATTGTCCGAAGTGCCATGCACGAGCACGTCAATAGCAGCTGGCACATTATTATCTTGCACAAGCGCTGGTTGTGCATTTGTTAGTGCAAACAGCGCACAATTAGCATGTACAACCAGTGGAGCATCGTGTGGTGGTTATACATCCTTATCCATTAATGGTTATTGCACGGATTTTAGCACAGCATTAGACACAACGTCTGGACAAATATCTCATATTGAGAATTTGACACCTAACTCACGATTTTATGTTCAATTTGATTCCGGTCAGGGTACATGTAAATATCGTTCTTATTTGACCAAAAACAGCTCTTTGGTTTGATACGGTTGCTATTATTTATCTAATATCTGCGTAAGTATTTTAGACATTACTCTGGGTGCCACTAGTGGGATGGGTACATACGGTCCAAATTGGATACTATTGTGCCTGATAGATTTAAGTGTCAGACCAGATGGTATCATCAATACACCACCTGTTGCCACAGTTATTTCTCGTACGTTCATCAGCTCATGTTGTACATATTTTCGACCAAGTTATGTTTTTATTCCAACTTTAGCGATTCAAGTGGCAGTGAATACTATAACGACTATTACAATACCAACACTCGATGCTAATAATGACAACTTGAGGTAAGAATTAAGAGCAGAATAGTAACGAAGACGGTGAACAGTAGAATGTTTTATTTCGGATGGATTCAGGTTACCCTATTTTTCTCTGAATGATATTCTCTATCAATACAAAGTTAAAAATAAATAGCAGCGAAAACCGCATAAACTTGAATGATGCATAACATAGTTTATTATAATTATTTCCTAAGACAGAAATTAAGCTTTTCATAAGTCAATGTTAGTTACTACCTTACAGAAGTTATACATATAATTAATATAGTTAAATATGTAGGAAAATTTGTCTAAACTGTACCGATTGACAGATATTGGTAATTTTTTATGTGCGTAGATGTCGGTGGGCAGTGAAAAATTCGACATACGATGAGTGTAACGACGTTTGTCAAACGTTACCTAACAGTACATTGGCCAGTGATTGCACACTCGTATTCAACAGTTATGGTAAAACACCAAGCACTACTTACGCTGTTGCTTTGATGGTTGAAGACTTTTGGAATTCCACTACAACAATTCCATTTAGTAGTGTGCCAATTCAGTTTCTCGTCACAATTATTTCCACTCCACCTTGTCCACTGACGCCGATCATCATTAGTGATCTAGCGCAAGGAGCATGTACTGCTGTGCAAGTCGGCATACCATTTTCGTTTCAAGTAGTTGCACAGAAAGGATGTAATGGAACAACGATTACTGATATATTTACAATGCCGCCATTCAATATGACTAAAAGTAGCCTGGTACAAAATTCAACCAATATTTGGATGATTACTGAAACATGGACACCGTCTAATTTACAAACTGGTTCACAAGTATTTTGTGCTGTTGCGGTTGACAGGTATGCGAATTTCTTTTAATTTCTGTTATTTTTTAATTTCTAATAAATAGTATTTTTTTGTTGTTTAGTGCAAATATACAATCGCCACAGTATTGTGTTACATTTACTGTTGTTCCAGCTAATAGTACCTCTTTATGTAAGTGAAAACTGGCTTTCGCTCAGCTTGACTAATAAAATCCTTTGATGGCCAGGTCCTGGTCAAACGACTACAACCGCCATCACAAGTATACAACCGACAACGGTGGTAACCACAATTTTAAGGTATTGTCGCCTTTAAAGTCCTCCTTTCGGTATCACTAGACATACTCAGATGTTTGAACTATTACCATATTTAAAAAGAATTTGGAAACCTTCTTATGCACCATTAAAGAGAATTTTGTTAAGAGCTTTTGGAACTGAAGTAAAAAATATCGTTTTGGTTCTTCTAATACTATGCTCTGGATACCGCTGTCTCAAAACGGTATTTAACCTTAAATCAAAAACTAAAGATCTCTTACAGTTACAAATGAAAAATCTGTTTCCGTCTTGTATAATAGTCCTTTTTTTAGGAAAGTGCGGGAAAATACTTGCTGTGCGGAATAGTTCTTTTTTTTAATTAGAACCAATTATAGTCATTTCAGTTCAATGTTAACTGCTAGTGATAATATCACATCGATGACTACGTCGTCAACGTAGGTTTTCTTTAAGATATGTTCATTCAGTTGATTCTAAATCATCAGACAGCACTGCAATCAAAATAATATAAATTATAAAGCATTGTAAGCATTAATTACTAGTTTGATACAAGTTTCGAGAAAAGACTAAGACAACGTGATATACGCAATACGTGAATAAGTCAATGACTTACGCTGACTAAGGCTATTCTTGACGTTTAAACGGTTTACGTTGATTTCTCTTTAGTGGGGAAACAACAATCAATTTATCATTAATACTGGGGTTATCGATGTTAGCTTTATTAAGTCTTTTAGCTCTGTGCGCTTGTTGCTGTTATTGTTGGTTATGGTAAGTTTTGAGTCAACAGTTCTCGTCCAGTGGCATACCTTTGTTTCCAATTTTAGGAAAATTTGTTGTCGAAAACGAAAACAATCAGACAAAACAAACGAAGTTAAAGAAAAATATTTGCTAAGAGGTTCTGATACCACCGAAAGTACAGATAATGTATACGATCCATCTATTTTGTCCACTTCGTCGAATCCAAAATGTCAGATACATAAGTCAAAACAAAACTATACAATCTACAAAGCCTTCGATGTTGTTAAAGACAATTTGAATTCTACAATACAAAGCAGGTTAAAATCGTCTCGACGAAATACACGTGTTAGTGTATTGAGGGTTGATAGAGTAAATAAATCTGTGGATCAAAACAGCGAAACAGCTGTTTACGATGATGGCATTTCTCAGACGGATATATCCCACAGACCTACATCAAAAATGAGTAAAGCTAATCGAATTAGTGTGATGAAATTGCAACGAATGCAATCGTCAAAATCGAACAATGACGAGGGAATGGAAACAGGTACAATCACATCTAATAATAGAGCTAGCATTAACAAGGAAATACAATCATCAACGATAAATAACTCGCTTACAGATAATCCATCAACTGGTGATAACAATAGAACTTCAAATGACACAACTATTCCTAAAACGGTTAATAACATTAGTGTAGTGAAATTACCAAGAGTAAATTCGACTCCAACTGTCTACCCAATTTTTGATGTTCAGTCAAACAATGAAGATAGAAAACTGACACATCGAACGGATACCATTACTTCAGATGACGAAATGCTTTCTAGAACAAAACGAGCTCAGAGGGTTAACCACATTAGCGTGATCAAACTTAAATCTTCGGAAATTAATTCTATATCATCCACCGTTGACAGTCCGAGTAAAACAATTGTGTTAGGTGACGGTCAAAAACCGTCTGAACGTGCCAGACCTTCTAGACGTAAAGAGACGAACTCATCCCGTACTCCTGCACAGGCTAATGAATCTCCTGCTTATCGTTCTCAAAAAAGTGCTTCGAACAACGTTACCATTGTTAAACTATCTAGAGCAAAATCTTCAACAATAAGCGAAAATACACCTTGTACGTCCATCAATAATCCATTCACTTCCTCTATTACCGAATTCAATCTGTAACTGTTTTTTCTCATATTTATCGAGTATTTTGAGTTTTTATGGTTTTTTAAATCATTGTACCATCATTGTTTATAACGTGCTAAACAAATGAAATCTATTTGAAATAAGACCTATTTAGAAAACATCACAAAAGTAAGCAGCTGTTATATTTTCAAGACTATTATTTAAGATATTATATACCATGTCACTTGATGCTTTATTAGCGCTTTATTATTTCATCTATAATTTTTATACCTGATATTAATCTCAGACTATAAAACATATCGATAACCTTCTTAGTATGAAGTAATTCATTGTACATAGTGTGAAAAAAATGCAGTATAAAAATAAACAGAATTGTTTTGTCACAATAATTTGTTGCTAATTCTTACCGTAGTTTGTAGTAATGAAACACTGGCTGTAGAAAATAAAATAAAAATTGTGAAAATTCACTGGTGTCCTTACACAAATCGTCTCATTGAAAACACTATGACACTCAAAGAGTATGCTGCTAAGAAATTCATTTAAAACAATTTTTTCGAACGCCATATTTACACGTAAACATATCAGTTTAGTTGTTAATATAAACTGAATTCACGCTCAACCTCCAATATGATAGTGAAGCTACGGTAAAAGTATGTAATGTCAGTTTTGTGAGCCACAGAGACCGAATCAGGTCAAACTCATTTAATCCTCATCCGACCCGAAATTTTTTCTCCTTGATCCGAATGAATCCCGAAAACATTTTTTTTGCACCCAATAGAAGGGGTGTAACTTCACATTTTCCCCAGAAAAATTGAAAATTTTTTTCGGTCACTCGAAATATTTTTTTATTTGATCTGCAGCCGACACGACTCGTTTCGGTCTCCGATGAGCCACTGTATAAAGTTGAAAAACGAAAATGTTTGAACACTTACATTGAAGAAAACGAGAAAGAAGAGATTTTCATACAAAAAGACGTATGTTTTCAGTTTCTGGTTGCTGGCAAACGTCGATGTTCTAATTGAAAGTGCCGGTTAAAGATACAAAATTTTTTTATCTCACATTAGATAAATAATATTTTTCATTTTAGTTTACAAAACTGTAAGACATCAACAAAGTGTGTTAATTCATCCAAATAGTTGTCTAGTTGAACACATACCCCGTTATGTTATCTATTATGAATCAGTTTTAACAACGAAAGAATATATGAGACAAGTGATTGAAATTGAAAATCAATGGCTATTAGAAGTTGCACGACATTTTCATAAAACAAAAAAATTAGATGAAGATAATAGTGTTAAAAAATTATCAAAAAAATTAGGGAAAACAAAAGAAGAATTAGAACGAAACTATTAGCTTATGTTTTGTATTCTGTGTTATTCTTTGTTTACTCAACCTTGTATAAATTGTTTTTCTCATTTTGTTTCCTCTATACATACGATTAAAAGACCGAACACCTAAAATAGGGTGTCTCTATTTGCAACATTTTTAATCATAGTTATAATCTATATTGAAAAAAGTTATTGAGATAGTCACTACTTAATAATTTAAAACATTTTATGTGATAAAGTATTTTTCTTCAAAATGAGTTCAAATCGATAAAGTGTTGCTTTAGAAAAATGAACTAAAAACATTGATAGCACTCATCTAGGCATGCACCAGTTACAGTTTTTGGACGGTTAACTGTAACTGCTATAACTGTAAAACTGTAACTGTCATAACTGTTATAACTGTAAAACTAAATATATTTAGCTTATAACATGTGCGCAGCACATGTTCTTAGATTGCCCAATAAAGAAATAGATGTGGTTTTGTCGACTGAAATAATTATCTTCAAAGACGTAACTAACCTC